TGGCAGGAAAGTTGACATTTTAAACCTTAATAAAAATCGATACGGGACTTTAGAATATCGATACAGTATCGGGAAATGAAATATCGCGATATTTCAGTGTATCGATATTTTCTTACACACCTATTAACTACCTTACAAATTTTTAACAAAAGTTGCAGAGACTAATCACTGGATGAACATCTACAGCTAGGGATTGGAATTGGAATTTTTTATTGTCCCCTGTGGGAAATTTGTCTTGATTTTATTGGTAAACACTTGTAAATAAAAAATGGTCAAACAACACACAAGGAGAAGAAACTCTAGCTCAACAACATCAGTCAACAACACAAGTAAAAGGTACAATATAAGGTATTAGCTGTAAGTTATTGATTAATACATTAATCTCAAGTTAACGATTAATTGTTTGCATCTCTACCTTCAGTCGATTAACTTTTGGGGGGCATCCCAATTCAAGATGGCTGCCACAACCAACCATGGAAAATGCAATCAGATTTACAGATAATAAAGTAAGATTTAGCGGAGCTAAGAGTCGTCTTCAACACATAAATTCATCTCTGGGTTTTTRTTTTTCAATCAGGACGGCACAGAGCAAGACGAGCCGGAGGAGCTGGACTTCATGTTTGACGAAGAGATGGAGCAGATGGACGGACGCCGCAACACCTTCACCGACTGGTCGGACGAGGAGACGGACGGCGAGCTGGACGACCAGGACGTCAACAAGATCCTSATCGTGACGCAGACGCCCCCCTACCTGAGGAAACACCCGGGGGGCGACCGCACGGGGCAGCACACGTCCCGCGCCAAGCTGACCAACGAGCTGGCCAAAGTGATCAACGACGGGCTCTTCTACTACGAGAAGGACCTGTGGGACGACAACTACGAGCCAGAGTATGCCACCATTAAGGTGAGGCTGTCCCTCTGAAACTGGACTGTTTCTAAAAACAAGAAAATACATCCACAAATACATACAGTTTCATCCACACTTGTTAGAGCCACATCTGTTTGTTATATCACACCAGTTAACAAATGATTACTGCTAAATTTCACGTAGTTTTTGTTGTAGTTACTGTTATACATTTGTTGTTGTGAACCTTTTAGTACAGATGTTAAAGTAAAATTTAAAACTGGTACAACAACAGTCAAATGATCATTTTACTGATATATATAAAGACTGCAAAGGCTGAAAAATCCTGAAGTCTGTATGAAACTAGAGGTAGTTTGAGAATTACATTTTTTATGCTTTTTAAGCTCAAAATACAGGGGTTCGTACATGAGATAGTATATACGAATAATTACGGTAACCACATAAATGTTAATTCATGTCTGTAATGAAGACAAGCCCTGCTGGGGATAGAACAGCTTCTATTGTCTTTGTTTACTAAAGAACAAGAGGTGCTGGTCTGTAAACCACAGAAGAAGACACAGTCGACACATCAAAGGGCGATAATAACGGCAGAACAGAAAGACCATCGTGTCGATGGAAAATGGAGACAAATTTTCAGACTGTAAAATGCAGACTCAGTCTAACAGTGGCAGTGAAAACAGGAACAGGAAGTGCACCCACAGGAAGCACAGATGGACGTTGTGACAAAAATAAGTGACTAATCAATCAATCGATAAAATAATCAACAAATTAATCAACTATCAAAGTACAGGCACAGCCCTAACCTATAACGCAATCAGTATTAAACTATAATCGTGTTTCCATCCAGTTGTAGAGTGAATTTTTATCGAACTTTTCAAAATTCGCAAAAAATTACATAAATTTTTGAATCTAGACTGTTTCCATCTAGTTTTCCTCTCGACTGTTTGATGCGAATGAACGAGTCTACGCAACGTGTGATTACGTCAGACGAGGCTACGCAATGCGTGATTATGTCAGACGAGGCTATGCAATGCGTGATTACGTCAGACGAGGCTACGCAACGCGTGATTACGTCAGACGAGGCTATGCAACGCATGATTACATCAGATGAGGCTACGCAGGCTTGATTACGTCAGACGTCAGCGACAAGCTTTGCGGTAGTAAACAGGAAGTGAAACTTGCTAACTAGCAGAGGCTAATCATCTCGGGACAATGGAGCAATTTTTTCGTGAATGCCTTGCTGTTGGGCAAGTTGTAATTATTCTATCTATTCAACTAGTACAAACTATGTTTAACGCTGCCAGGAGACGTAGCGAAATAAAGGGAAATAAACGCAATGTTTTTGCGCGTTCATAATAACATCCGGGACGAGGCAGGAAAGCGGAAACAGCTGAACGTCACGTGAGGTAAATATGCGCTACGTCAGAATTTATTCTGACAACATGTTTCCATCTCCCGTTTTGCTCATTAACTACTTTGTGAATCATCCAAAAACCACCTCAAGCGAGCGTAAACACTTCTTAGCGAATTGAGGAATTTTTTTCGAATTTTGCTGTTTCCATCTGACTTTTTTTCGCAATTTTAATGCGACACTTCTAAATGCGCATCAAAAAGCCTTGATGGAAACACGGTTATTGTGATCATTTTAGGATGAAGTAGTAATAGAAATTGCATTTTTCTTTTAAAAAATAATATCAAAAAAGGTTGTATTTGTTTTAAAAGTAATAATTCTGTCAGAATCTCATACAAGCCAGATGCAACACGCTGTGTGATGTTTCTGCTTGAAGCCCGAGGAGATTTCTTCACCAACAGTTGGAGCCGTTTCTGGATGTGGAAGTGAAACATGGAGCAGAATGCTGGTTTTGTTTGGTTTAGCGGTCATTGTTGCCCCATTSTGTGTTTGTTGTGGTACCTTCACGTATCCACCGGCACATATCCAGCGTGGAACAAAGCTTGCTTGTTTATAAATAGACCTCACATTGCAAGGGCTGGTCCTGAAGGGTGGAGAGGACGGGCTGCAGGRGGCCAGACYAAAGATGAATCCTGAAACACCTGAAGAGACTGGCTGGGATTTAAGACGGAGTGTGAGTTGTTTTTAATAACTGTAAATGACAGGAGGAGCTGCTGGTGGAGGGTGGAAGAAAAACTGCAGTGTTTGTAGGTTCTCAGCCCTGTTGTTCAGGGTGAGCGTGGACGTGAAGCTGCTGCTGCTTTGRTTCCTCAGAACAGTTCAGGTTTCAGGTATGAAGGTGCAGAGAAAGTTGTTGGCAGCTGGGTTTTGCTGCTGCATCTCCATCTCCAAACTGCTGCAGATGAGGTCTGTTGATCCATCCAGTACCGTTTCTTCATTAACGATGAGTTTCTAAACTTTTCAGTTTGACATATCTTTTTGAAATTCAGAAATTTGCCACTGAAAATCTGMGCAAAAATGTGTTTCTGGGTAAAATTAGAACAACAATCTATTTTTTACTAAATGGTTTTCTGAAACTAATCGATGCTCTAGATGTTCCTGTCTTCCCTCACAGCTTCACTGTTTGTCTCGTTTTTACAGCAAGAGGTGGAGAACTTCAAGAAGGTCCACCTGATCAGCCGCGAACAGTTCGACTGTCTGACACCAGAGCCCCCCGTTGACCCCAATCAGGAAGTCCCCCCAGGTCCCCCGCGGCCTCAGCAGAGTAAGGAGGACACAAAAAAACATGGACTTTACAAAAAAACTTCCTTCTCCTTAAAATGTTCATATTTTGATCACATAAGCTGGTTTAATTACAAGACGCCAGTTTGAGAGTTGATGTCTCTGCGGGATGATGTCACTTCTGTTATTTTTCTGTAGAAAGAAGTTAATTTTATATTTTCTGTTACAAAATATATAAATAAATGTATTTGGCACCGCAGGTTTGGCGTGACACTCTTCTAAAATTTTTTTTGTATTTTATTTGAGTTAAAACATAAAAACTGAATACTTTGATTTAGCCATTTTCTAAAAGAGGATTTAAATATTTGGTAAAACTGATGATCTTTCACTCACCTGCTTCACTAGACAGAAGCTCCAACAAGTGAAAAACGGAGTTGATCAGTTTATCAGTTGAGGCTGTTAAATTGACGTTAAATCTTTTATTTAAAGCTTCTTTCTCTTCCCAGTTCCTACAGACGCGTTGGCGAATAAACTCTTTGGCGCCCCCGAGCCCTCCTCCATAGCCCGCTCGCTCCCCACCACCGTGCCTGAGTCGCCCAACTACCGCAGTGCCCGGACGCCCCGCACGCCTCGCACCCCTCACCGCAAGGACCCCGCCATGACGCCGCGCTTCTACCCCGTGGTGAAGGAGAGCCGGCCCGTCGACGCCAAGGTCAGGCAGCCGCAGAGAGGAGGACAGACCTGCTGGTTAGAAATGGTTTCACCAACCGACTTGTCCGGTTTTGTTTTRTTTATTTCAGACCCCCAGGAAGAGGAAGACTCGACACAGCTCAAACCCACCCCTGGAGTGTCACGTGGGCTGGGTGATGGACTCCAGAGAACACCGTTCCCGCACCGCCTCTGTCAGGTCAGACTTGTTACMTCTGTGAACACTGAACTGAGCCGTGCTTCGTGTCAAACAGACTCTAGAAAACTGTTTTTAAAAAGGGTTTCGTCTTAGATTCAAGCTTAAATTGTTAACCTGTTGAGCCCAATGCCCCGGTACCAGGGGCAAAAAAGCTTTTTCCATTTTCTATTTCTTTTAACYTCTTTTMACTTAAKATCTTTAAGTTGAACCTGGACATGTTTGGTATCAAAATAAACCCAAGAATCTTGGCTAAAAGCTCATGGAAACTATTTCTACATTCACCAAACAGAAATGACAGGAGGTTGAATCAGAAAGTAAACAAACTGTACAAAATGGAATTGTTGCAAAATGTTGACATTATATTTTTAAAGCAAGTCAAAGCAGATATCTAAATATGTTGTAAAGTGTGTTGAAAGTTTTTTAACTTGATTTTGAGTGAATCTGATTCAACTGCAGTCAAATATAACTTCTCATTATTTTATTTAATA